GGCACCCTGTGTGCCCCAGGCCAGGAGGTCGGCAGGAGCGTACACCTCGCTGCCTGGACACTGGAGATGCCCAGCGGGCAGAGCTGGCCCTGGCCTCCTCGGGCAGGCTGTGGGCTCTGCGAGGCTCAGCCCCGCTTGGCCTCTCCTGCTGCCCTCAGGGATCCTCGGAACGCCAGGCTGGCACCGGGACGCACTGGGCGCCAGAGTGACACTGGCCAGAGGAACGGTACCTCCAGCTCGGAGCATGATCAAACAATCAGAGCAAAGGCATCTAACCAAATCCTCCCGCCACCCTGGGAGACCACCCAGCAGCACAGCCGTTATCTGCCAGGGTGAGTGTTTACCAATAACGGGAACCAGCTTGCTGTTTTACTGCGAGCTTTATAAGGATAAAAAGAAGGGCTGGGCTTGAGCAGCTCCGAGACGCTGCGAGCCATTTGCTCAGGCTGCCTAAGCTCCAGCTCAGCTGGGATAAGCTATCTGCTCTGGTTGTTTAACAATCCCTCCTCCTTGCTCCCTCCAAAATTCCCTCTAAATCCCATTTAACACCCGCCTGCCTCTCCCAGCCCCTGCCACCCCCAAATGCACCAGGAGGAGAGGATTTCACTGAGCATCGTGGGCAGAAAGCTGGCAGGAAGGGAGAAGAGCGATGCAGGCTGAAGGAACGCTGACCACGGCTGGGAGGAGGCAAGGCAGGACAGAAGCCAGCCCCGTGCCACAAGCCGACCGGCTCCAGACCACACAGGCAATGCGGGCACATGGGGCACGGAGAGAGGTAGCTGGCACAGAGGGACAGCCCGCGCCGGGAGAGAGGGGACGCCCCCGCCATAGCACTGGCCCTACTCACCGATTAGGGGCACCACCAGGATGAACTTCCTGCAGTCCAGCAGCGTTACCAAGCTGCCGAGGTGGTCGATGAAACCGTTGGTGTCTGGGACCAGGAAGACGGGTCTGATCTCCACCTCCATCTGCCTCATTTCGCTCTGGTCTTTCAGCACGGCCTGGAGGAGAAGGACACATGATGAGTAAGTAGGACGTCAGCCCTACGACCTGTGGACCCTGACAGCAGAAGATAAGCCTGGCTGGCACGCATGCCTCCCGCGGCAAGGGCATCGTGTGGAGACCAGCAAGAAGCTGCATCCACCCCACCAAGCACCTCAACTACCAACTCTTGCAGGTCCACGGCATAGCACATGAGTGGGATGGCAAAAGCCTCCGAGAGAGGACTCTCTGAGGCAAACAGCCCCGTCCAGGCTCTGGGGAGAACTGAGATCAGCCTTGAAAACGGAGTTTTTTTGGAAATTGTCCCATTTACGGGACTGGCAGTTGCCAGGACTATCTGCGCCGGTGCCAAGAGACTGATCCTGATAGAAAACAGTGGGAGAAAATGGGGCTGGAGGACAGGGGTACTGGGGCTCCACACGGAAACAGCTCAAGGTGACAACACCCAAAACAAACCAGTTTGGGACACTTAAGTCCCGCCGCTGGTGTCCTAACACAGGGACCCCGAGCAGGCAGAGGGGAGGTCTGTGGGGCAGGGATGCTCAGCTGAGTATCTCACTCACTATCCCACCAGCTCCTGCATGTGTCTTGCCTTTTGTGACCCCATCCAGCTGGGAAACCAGGTGGGTTCCAGCCCTGGAAACTCACAGTACTGTCCTTGGCTGAGCCCTTCGCACCCGCTGGAGACCAGAGGAGCTCACAGTTGCACAGGGAGGGTCTGCTGGGTTTCACTAGCAACTCTCCGGGGTTGCACCTGGACCTCTGGACAATGCCAGTTGCCAAAATGGGACCCAGGAGCTCGCATACTACTTTAAACGCTATCGAAGGACTTGGGCTCTTTAGTAAGTCACAGGCTTAAAAAACTCAGGATGCTATTCTAGTGCTTCCTCTGCTTAAAAATAGCTCCCCTGGACTTGCTGATGTTTGTTGCCTCTAATAGGAACCGGTCACCCACGGAGCACAGCAGCACTGCTGTGGAACACATCCACCACGCAAACCCTTGTGAGACCGGGCTCGCGCCCACAAGACACGCCCTGGGGACAAGAAGCGATGGCTGACCCTGTTCTGCCCAACGTTACGGGGAGCTCCCCCTGCCCAGGCTGAGGATCCGAACCCTCCCGCCATCATGCCAAAGCCTCGGAGGCGCCCTGGAACGCTGAGCTGCACGGGCCAGCAGTGGCCATGGAAAGAAGTGGTTTTTAATCCATTTCCAAGTGTTGTCATCTGGCTTTAAATCAAGGCGGTTTGATGCTGCCACCTCCCACAAGTGTCTCCAGGCAGCAACCAGAACCTCACCACGTGTCTCCCACCCTCCTTCTGGCAGCGCTGGTCCCGGGCCACAGCTCCCATCGGCCCCGAGGGGTGACGGGCAGAGCAGGGAGTGTGGCGGGTCCTGACAGGCACAGCTGAGGTGGCACCAGTGTCCCCATATTGATGGGGACATGGATGCTGTGGCCAGCCGCGCGCCGGATGCCATCCCTGCCTGTGCTCTGCCTGCACCCAGGGAGGTGCTGGCACTCCCCGGTGGCACGAGAAGAGCTACAGCCAGGTACAACCTGGAGACAATCCCGGCATGGTGCTGCCCCTGCCCGCTTGCCGTGAGGCATGACGCGGGGGTCTCTCCTCAGGGTTTTGGGGTGCAGGAGGAGATGCTTGTCCCCAGGAGGCACCCAGCCCTGCTGAGCTCCACTAACCTCCACCTGCCATGGGGAGATGGAGAAGGGCCTCGTTGGCCTACGTAGAGACCCAGAGCGAAGTGGCACGTCCCTTGTGCAATGGCCAAAGAGGTTGACAGCCCCATACTTGCAGGAAGGGGGAGGGCAAAACCACATGGTCTCCGATGGGCGACGACAGTCCCATGGGATCACAACCGGCAGCAGGAGAGGACCCCGCCTGCACCCCAATATGGCTCTCCGACCCCAGGGCTCGCCCCGGCCCGTGCAGACAACCTCGGGAGCGTGATGCAAGTGGGACGCTCACCCACCCCTCCGGCCAGAGGGTGCACGAGGGTGGCGGTGGGGCGGGGGGCCGTACCCTGGTGTGTGGCATTTGCCCCAGC